GTGTGTGCTGCTAGGGACAGAAAGGGCTGGGTGTTCCTGTTAGGGACAGTAGGGGTTTGTATGTGCTGCTAGGGACAGAAAGGCTCAGGTGTTTGTGTTAGGGAAGGAAGAAGTCAGGCAGCTTTGTGGAAGAAAGGAAAGGAGTCAGTGGTGTGAGGAGCTGCCTGTGGGAACTCACAGAGAGAAGGTATGAAAGTCTTACAGCAGGATAATAAACTAACAGTGACAGTTCCCATCCACTGCTGAGTGGTGCCAAGCCCCGACACCAACAATTGGTGGCATGTACGGGGATGGGTTCTGACATGGTGGAATGCATGAGAAGAACATGGATGGGAGGAGATATCTGAGAGCCCTTGAGTTTTAACCACCCTTTGTTAGGACATAGACATCTTCCCTGCATTCAGACATAAGCTGAGTCTACTTCAGCCTTTTGTTCTTAAAAGAGAATTGGTTTGAGGCAGATACTACTCATACAAGTAAGGACAGTGAGAGAGAAGTCTGGAAAAAGTCTTATATATGGAATTTCTTTGTTATGCAAGCTTTGTCAAATGCACTTCCTGCTCACACGTCTGTGATGAAGATCTGGGATGCTTTCCTCTAACAGAGCCTTTTAATTTCTTAATTTAATTTAATTTCACAGCCTTTTTGGGGGGTGAAGAAAAGGGAGATTTTATTATCCACAACATTACAGTATATAAATTAAATTTTATTTTACCAATAAATTTTTAAAATTACATTTCATATTATGGAGACCGAGAAAGGAGTGGAATACTGACTGTCCTTTTTCCTTGGTCTGTAGAAGATATGGGTTTTAGCTGTCCAAGTTCCCTTGGAGATAGGTTAGTCAAGAACACATCTTGGTTTTAAGAATAGCTGCTCAATGAGAAAGAGCAGTGTAAATGTTATCTTTATTCCAGGTGAGGAGAAGAATCTCTGAAAAGCGTTTCTGAGGAGTGTTATCTCTGTGGGTTGATTGTTGGAAGGTGTAAGAAATATGACTATGATTGTGGTTTGCACACTGAGAGACTTT